TTCCAATCTGCAGTTTTAGAACAGCGTGGATTATTTTTCTCAGTTACATAAATTACTGTCCTGGGCTGGTATTCCTGCTCGTTTCCTCTTCAAATTACCAACACAGCTAAAGAATTGTAGCTATTTGCATCAGTTTAACTTTCTTTGGAGATTTCCAGCTCTGTGTGATGGTACTTGGAGAGTCATTTCTGGCTTGGGTACTTCTCTGCAATCTCTTCTGGGAGAACAAATGTTTGGGAGCATCCTAACCATGCACTTTAAATGGACAAAAATAGAATGGAAGAATAAAAGGAGCAGAGTCCCTTGGTAGAGTCTCTTTAATGTCTTGCATCTGATGTTCAGATTGGTGGGGAGGGGAGGATCACATGCCTGATGTTTTCTCTAGAACTACACCCAACTGGAAGCCATCCCTTGGCTTCTCTGCAGACAGCAGCATACCCAAATGGAACACATTAATTCTTTGGGGAAATCTCCTTAGTGGGAGAAAAAGGAATCTTTTCAGCTTCTCAGACACACGCTCTGTTCCCAGTACTATCAGACTGAAAGAAGAAGCTGCAGTACCTTGAGTGGGAGGACGTAGTTTCGTTTTAGCGACAGGGTTTATCATTGATAAACAACTTCTGTGATGCAGCTGCTCAAGCTTTCAGGTTTTGACATGTTTATTAATGAGAATGAATGCGAAAAGAAAGAAACAGTCAGCCAGGCAAGAAGCCCCTGTAACTCTGTTGTCATCGTTAGGTGAATATGGTATACCAAATATTTATGCTTCTATATGACTCAGGATCACAGAAAATAAATATCTCTTTTATGCCTTTTATTTTCTTTGGAGAAGGGAGTAGAGGAGAGTGTGAGTCATAGTGGAAGAAAAAAATTCATTTCTCTTCTGACAAAAGCTGCTCATTTTGTCAAAGAAGGATTCTAGCATTAACTTTGGTTTTCTGATAACCTCTGCAGCCCAACTGGCTTAGAGCAGGAAGCAGTAGCCTGCCAGTCTCCAATCTGTACCTGTCTGGTGACCAATGACCAGAAGCCAAATCATATTTCTTACTCCTGCTGCATGTAAAATATTAACTGTTCCTACCTGGGTCTGAGTGCAGGCTGCTGGTGCACCCTCACGAAGGATTTCTGGTGAGCAGTTTTCACCCTTTGCACTGTAACAAATCCTGCCAGCTGCAGCCTGACTTCTGAGAGTAGGGTTGGTCTGAGGAATCCAGGAAGGTTAACATGAATATGTATTAGTGTATGACCAATGCTAGTTGTATGCTTTAAAAAAAAAAAAAGCGTATCGTCTATTATGATTGGATTCAGAGGGTTCTGTTCTTAAGCAACTGAGAAGGGAAGTGCTATGGTTATGGGAGCTCCTGAGGAGGCAGTCAGTGGGTGATTTCTCTTTCTTACACCTTGCTGTGCCTTCCAGAGTGTAGATGAGATAAGAAAGGAGCAAGATACAGGTTCTGATGATTCTCTGCTCCCAAGAGACAGTGAAGGCCCAAGAGTTGTCCCTGCCTGTCCAGCTGCTCACACTCTCCTGAGGTAGGAGAAGACTGTTTATGAGGTAGAAGTGATCTTCATGTTGCTTTGGGGTACACAGAAGGAGTGGAATCTAGTGCTTTGTGTAGGCTTTCTTTACAACTACCAACGTCAAATCATTTGTTGCCCTGCCCATGGCAGGGGGATTGGACTCGATAGTCTTTAAAGGTCCCTTCCAAACTAAACTATTCTAGGGTTCTATGATTCTGTGATTATTCTAGAAATAGTTATTCAGCAATGATGAATGTGCTGAAGTCTGAGAGGTGGCAAATGACAAAGGGTTTATGTCCTGGTGAAATTAAATCTGAATTTAAAAATGTGTGTATATCATTACTTATAACATTTTTATAGGAAAGAACCTGTTGCTTTTGTGAAAGAGTTTACATGTGTGTTTTGTGTCACAAAGGAGTTGCCACCAAGGCAAGACAAACATTACAGGTGTTCTACCTACACAAACTCCAAACCAAAATTCTGTGATGTTTTCCAGACATTAAGCTGCTCTTTTCTGAGCAGAGATCTCATAGCATTTATTCAAAAGAGGGAAAGCCTTAAATGCCTGTGTGTTAATGTAGAATACTGGTCTAGAGATTCAGGAACCAAAGGTCTATATAGTTTTTTCTGCAGTTGAAAGAATTGTGCCTGTTGTCTTTTTGAAGGATCAAATAGTAGTCTTGGCTCCTGTAGCAAGGGCCACGGACACCCTGGAATGTTCAAGAGAGGAGTCACGCTTGCTGTCCTAGTAAGCAGATTGTGTCTTCCTTATTACCTTTTTAAAAGAAAAGTCCTCAGAGTTTCTGTTCAGTATTAAATCAAGAACAGCGTAAGATGGATGATCTCTGACATTCCAATTCCCTCAATATTATGAAGGATGAAAAAGAAATTAACAGCAAAGGGCATATAGGTTAGCTCTTCTGGTACATGGTATGCAGAGTAGCAGCTGCAAATTCTGTCTTAGTTTGTAAGACAATATTATAGCAAAAGTAGGGTGCTATTTTTGTGGTGAAACTTGACAGACGCTGTGTACATCTTAAAGGCAAAAATTCTTTTTCACAGACAACCCCTCTTAGCTCTTATTTTAGTCATGTGAATTCAGATAATACCGAAGGCAGTAACAGAACAGTGAATTCTAAATTCCACTTCTGGTTGCCCTTATAGCCTTCTCCTTTCTAAAACTGAGATTCCCATATATATTTTCTGTTGAGATTTATGAATCTGCTACTATTTCCTGTTCAGTACTATTGAAGATGGTGTTAATAGTTATTCCTGGTGCTTTGTGTTGAAAGACTTTGCTTTCAGTATTTAATTATTTTCCTAATGTTACCCAGTATGGCTGGAAGTTTTAATGTCAGACATTAATTTGAAAATTTGAAGAAACTGTGTCTGAACAATTTTTGCTGCTTCTATGAATGAGATTAAGGGCCAAATGCATTTTTTCCAAAATTTATTAAAATATGTGCTGACATCTTTACGCTTTTGAACAAGGTCTTGAAATGTGGTAGACGTGTGGTAGATTTTCCCAATGTTCCAAATTATAAGACTCTCAAAAAAAAATGATTCTGTGTTAGCCTCATTAGGTTTGTTACTGCTCAGCAACTTGAGTTTCCAGAGCTTCAGTCTGCATTGAACACAATCCATCCTCTGACTCCTGAATATAGTCTCTGCTGTACCCTGTGGTGCTGCCACTTCAACATGAAGAAATAAAACACAGAGCCTGACTTGAATTTGAGGAAATGTGAATGGAGAGAAGGAGGGCAAAAGCGCAAGTGGCTGCATATAGGGAGGGTTCTCCATAGGATCCCTCCTTCTTTCAGTGTATAAGATATATGGTTCTATGGGGAGAGATGAAGATTGCATATCAGCCACAGTCCTCATCAGTAATCAGGATCCATGCCACATGTGTTGCAGACGTGGGGGAGTTTGGAAAGTATGTGTTGCTTCAGATAATGCACATATAATTAGAGTATCAGAAGGTATGTACATAAGAAAGATAAGATGTGGTTACATAGGAAATCTTTATCCCTGATACTGTTCCCTAACTTTGTGGAGATTAACTTACAAAAACGTTCAGTCACTGTAGTATCTAATGTGAATATTCATATGTGTACTTTGTGTTTTATATGGTTATACATCACAGAACTGTAGGAATTAAACCTAGATAAGTAATCGGCCTCCTGCTTCAAGGCCATGTCAGCTTGAACCTGTAGCAAGTTTGATGGATATTTGTTTTACCTATTATAAAAAACCTCAGCAATGAAGAGTCTTCACTTTCCTTAAGCATTTTATTTACATTATTATCTAGTCTTACTATTAAAAAGCTTGTTCCAGTGTCTGAACTACAGCTTTCCTGCTGCAACTCTTTCAGGTCCTATCTACAGTGTAAATACAGAACAGGTTATTTCTTTCCTCTTGCAACAATGACTTATATATTTGTAAACTTTTCTCATGTTTACTGTCATGTTATGTGAATCAAATAATTGTAATGCCATTGTTTTATCCACTGGGGTTATATTTTTTTAGAAATTTTTTTTCTTTCCTTTTGACCTCCAGTTGGTCTAGATCTGTCTTGAAGTCCAAGCCTCAATACTGGAATCCATACTAAAGCGGAGGCCTACTAATGATGTGAAAAAAGAAATATTTCACAAATTATATCACTTTGCCTGCATTTGTGATGCAATTTCAGCAAAATCACCAAAAAACCTGAAGTTGCCTCTGCCCTTTTTTTCTGAAGTAAAACTGTATTATTTGAAATGCTGTATGCCCTGACAAAGACTTTTTGCTTAGTCTGAATTTTCTTTTTTTTCTGACTAACGAGTAAAAGGAACATTTTCCTAATATTAATGTTATATTTGAGGAAAACAAAGCAAAATAAAGTTTATAAAACACAGGTCAAAAACTGAACTAAAGAAAAGACAAAAGAATTGTTAAAATACTATTGTGCACTTTTTTTTTCCCCACAGAAAACCTTAGTCTTTCAAAAAATATGAACTCCTTGGCCTAAATTGATTATACAATAAATACATAAACACTGAACTAAAACAAACAGTATTACATGTGAAAAATTAATCATCAGATTCTGACCATTGTAGACCAATTAAAATTTCCTTGAGCTCATTTAATTGGAATAGAACAGTCATTTGTGTATTTGCCTTCTAATGTTAGTGGTGTCCCGCTGATTACAAGCTTGAACTAGTGTAAAAGCCATCCTGGTGCGTTCCCTTTGGAGTCAGGCTGAAAGAAGGTATCTGCAAGTACAGAAAGCAGGGGTTTATCTTCTTCAATACATCTTTCATACTTTGATATTTTAGAAGAGCAAAACAAAAGCAACAAAATATCACCACGGAAGTCTGTCAAGGAAGGGGTTAAAAAAGTGGAATCTTTGTGACTGTAAAGGGCTGAATTATCTTCCTGACACCAGCAGGGGTTGCTGTCACTAGTTTGCGGTTGTCACATTCCTGTTGGGCTTGACCTTGGAAAGGCTTGACAACATAGTCTGGATTTGATTAAGGGAATTTCATGTTTTTCCTTTGCTAGAGTCACCCCCCACCTCGACAAACATTTAGAAATGTTAAGAAGTAAAAAAAAAAAGTTTGGAAAGCAAACATTTTCCCAAAAGAAATTTATAGTTCAAATTTACACCAAGTTCGCACTAACTGGAGCAGTCCGGGTTTCCACTCAGGCTTTGAGAGCTCTCTGTAAACCATTAGTCACTTCCCTGGAAGAGGCAGCTTTTTATAGGCAGCAGGATAAAACAGACACAGATGTGTATGTAGTATTAGAAGCTTTTGCATGTACCTGCATTTTTTTCCTCAGACATAGAAAAGAAAAAAGGATGATTATAGAAAGAGATTAATTGAAGCTATGGACTTAGTTTTAAACAGCTACCATGGAGATCGGTTTAATTAAAATAAAATATATTAAGTTGTGTTTTTTGTGATTGTGACAATTTATATCATGAAACAGTTCTTTTCATTTTAACAGGTTGGTTTTTTTCACTTGACAGGACTGTGATTATGCCAGCTGCCAATGAGTTTGATCCAGAGATTGTCTTGGTGTCAGCAGGATTTGATGCTGTGGAAGGCCACGACCCTCCGCTGGGCGGGTACAAAGTCACAGCTAAATGTAGGTATTGTCATAGAGACACATTTCTTAGTTGGTATCTTTGCTAGTTAGGAACCTTATTATAAGTCTGGTATACATCCATGTTTTTGTTTTGTGAGATGACAGCCATGTCACTGAGGGCAGGGACTGTCCATCAGTTAATACCCTGAGATGCTCATGAAGCTGCGGCACGGTGGAAATGAACATGTTAGCATTTCTGGATTACTCTTTTCTGTTCCTCTTGGCATTCTTGTCTTTACTTATAAAAGTATTACTTCTCTGGCATTCAAATAACATTTTAGAGGTTTCATGCTTTTCAATAGGCCCCATTTTCCAAATGCTGGAGTAAGTTATTTCTCTTTATATATATATTGGAGATTTTAGACTTTGGAAGCCTAAATCCAATCTCATATTGCTCTGTTATTATTGTAATCTTTTCAGCTCCATGACATTAATCCTGAATTACATCAGTGTTTATGAAGGCCAAAGTTCTCTAAAAGACTACTCTGTTGGGTCTCAAAGTTTGGATGTGCATGTCAGTGCTCCAAATGTGTGCTCATGGCATGGATTTAATTCTTTCTGAAAGACAAGTCTTTCTGAGATATTTTGCATGTAGCATTCCAAAATCATAAAATCATAGAATTTTAGGGGTTGGAATGGACCTTACTGACCATCTAGTCACAACCCCTCCTATCATGGGTAGGGACACCTCCCCACCAGACCAGGTTGTTCAAGGCCAAAACTCTGCCAGGTTTGGGGCAGCCACCGCTTCCCTGGGCAACTTGTTCCAGTCTCTCACCACCCTTACAGTAAAAACCTTTTTTCTAATATCTAACCTAAACTTCCCCTCCTTCAGTTTGAACCTGTTAGCCCTTGTCCTATCATTGCAGTTCCTAACAAAAAGCCCCTCTCCCACTCCCTTGTAGGCCCTTCAGATATTGAAAAGTTACTATGAGGTCTCCATGCAGTCTCCTCTTCTCCAGGCTGAACAGCCTCAATTTCCTCAGCCTGTCTTCATAGGGGAGATGCTACAGTCCTCTTATCAACTTTGTGGCCTCCTCTGGACTTGCTCCAAGAGTTCCATGTCCTTCTTATGTTGAGGACACCAGAACTGCACTCAGTATTCCATGTGGGGTCTCATGAGAGCAGAGCAGATGGGGAGAATCACCTCCTACAACCTGCTGGACACACTGCTTTTGAATCACTAGCTCTTACAGGATCTTTTGGCCAAACTGATTCTGGGCCTGGCATGTTATGCAAGGCTGGGTGATGTAGTGACCCTGAGTACAGTAATGTGCACTGCAACATCACTATATATCAGTCACTTTCCATGACACAACATAAAATGGTTTCCTAATGCAGCACTGAATAATTTTCTTCAGTATATCTCCTTTTCTTCAGTATGTCTCAAGAAATGCCACAATATCTCAAGAAAGACTACAATAGCACTTCAATAGTTATTAAATATGGATCTCTGCTGCTAATGCAAATGCCTTGGGAAAAGTCTGGGGAAGTCAATGAGACCTAATGGCATTTAAAACACAGAGGATTTTGTCCTTCAGACCTCTGCCTTCTGTTACAGGTCTATAGACCAAAGTTATTGTCTGGTTCAGGAGGTGCAGGGAAGAGATGCATATTTTTAATTTTCATTTTAGCTGTCTGCTCCCCTGAATACCAAGGACAAGAGGATAGATGGAGAACTAGAGTGACTGTCCATAGTGCTGTGCTGTGGAAAGGGAGAATGCAGAGAGCAGGGCAAGGGCCTACCAAGAGACACTTGTACAGGTGCAAATGCACAAGTGAGCTGGAAAGGTAGTATCCCTGTGGCTGCAGGCAAAACATATAGAGTTTTAGCACAGTTTTTCAGGTTAATGCAGTGGTTGCATAAGAGAGGAAAGAAACATAGGAGACTGTATGTATGTTTGAGTATCACTGCCTGTGTATTCTGATTTTTATAAAACACTGTGCATGAAAAGGTAAGGGATTTACTGACTACTTTTTCCTGTAAGCGTGGTTCCTGCTCAGAGACACCATCACATAAACTTATGGAGTAGGAAGATGAATTTTAAACTGGTACAAAATAGATATTTCATTGAGAACCATTGTATCACTAGCTGTATTTAGGAGGTGGGAAGGCATGCAACATGTCCCCTAAGGATGCATGATGCTCTAGTAAGATGCTTCAGCATACCTAATGTTCTGGCATAGCAGCTTCAACAACTTAACTAGAAACTGCAGCAAATAAAAACTGATATTGGCATTAGTGTTTATTTTCATTCATGAGTTAATTAATTAACTCTTCATAACTTTTTAGAAAATGAAATCTTAATGCATTTTTAATAGCAGAGGCTGCACATCTCCTGCTGCACATGTGTCTGTAAGCAAAAAAAGGTGATTTACAGTAGGTGGCTCTTGTTTAAATTAAGGGAAAAGCCAAGATAGACACAGATAATGATCACGCACCTGAGGGATGAATAAAGCCTTTTGTACAGAGCCAAAGGAATTTATTATTTCCCCAAAACAAAATTCTCCACATTCCACCATACCATTTTAGAACATAACATACTATATGTGGTATGTAGAAAGATGAACAGTCTATTAAAAAAAAATAAGGTCCAAAGACAAGCTTTTATATTAAAGACTAAAAATAGATAGTCATTCAAATTTTTAATAGAATTGGTTTGTAATAATTAGAAATTATGCCCAAAACAAGTAAATGCGAAGTAAAGTTTACCCTGTAAATATTCTTTCTTCATAAATCTTTAGTACTTTGTGTAAACTTAATACATTGAGTTTTCTGATTTCTATGACTTAATACAAACTTTTCACTTAGAAATTAGGGAGAGATTTACATCAAAGAGAGAAGACGGGTCTTAGCTACTAACCTAGCTGTTAAAGGGCATTAGACAGCCACTAGATGCTTGATAATGAATTATTTATGTCTTCCCTTTGGACAACAAACAAAAAGAAAAAACAAAATATATTAACCAGACAACATTCTCAAGTCCTAAAGTAAAAAGCATGGGACGAATATAACAGGTTGGACTAATTACAGCTTTGGAGTAACTATATAGCAGGTGATTACATACAGAAAAAAATGGTCTACTAAATCTGCACAATTTGAGAAGTGTAAATTATAACCTTCTTTAATGCAGAATTTTAATATTTTTTATAATGGCATACAATCTTATTTACTGCAGGGTTGCCATTTCTGATTAGTAAGCAAACACATCAGCAATAAAATGATCATATATATGTATCTGTTTGCAGCTGGTTCAAAATCCATGGGTCTGATGTGCATGTTAAGATTTCTCACAGTGAGGTGACCCTCAACTCCTCTAGAAGGGGGTAGGATGGAATTTCACCTGCTGAGATCAGTGATGATAGCAGAGCTTGGAGATACCTCACTTGCTTAATTTATCTCCGGTCACATTAAGTAATTAAACCACTACTTTCTTCTATTGAAGAAAAAGATAGTGTTTAAAGAGGATTGGAAGGGAAGTTTGAGTCTTGCCTTTCCTTGCACTTTTCAAATCACTTTCCCTAAGTAAATCTATTTCTCCAGCTGCCTTTGCAATTTGTCCCTGTCTGTTGATTAGTTTTCACTAAATTAATGAATATTTAACTAACTTCTATGTGTCTGCAAAACAGTTTTTGTTGGTGCAATGTAGAATTGGGAATGAGCATTAACTAAAGCATTTGTTTCAACCACAACTTTGAGGATTACACAGGCATTTTCTTCTTTGTGTTAATTCTTTGTGCCAATCCTCTCTCTTAATGAAGTGCTACAATTTCAAAAAGTGCTTATATATACCTAGGTACACATATACATCTTGAAATATGTGTTCAACTCATGTGCATAAAGTTTCTGATGGATTTTATACTCTGTTAAGGAAAAAGTAAGGGCTTCAAAGACTTGAGGTGACTGGTGCTTTATGGCAGAACTTGCTGCTGCTTGGAAGTTGTCAATCCTTTGGTACAAGCTACATTCCTAATATCTTAGTAAGGAAAGGCAAGCTTTATTGACAACACTGATATAAGAGCACCTAGCATAATTAGAAGCAGTAGGTATACTTTTGAATTCACAGTCACTTTGTCCTGAAGAAGGTCTTCCCCCCTGCAAAAAAGATTTGTGTCTGAAAAGGCATTTGTTTCCCAAATATTTGTCTGATAACGCTATTATCTTTCCTCACAGACACTGCCTTGCTTGTGTCATTATGCCAAACCAAGTTTAACATCAAAAAGCAAAGAAAAGAAAGTGGAGCACATGTCATCTTCAACTTTTCTGGTAGGCCTCTTGGCCCGGGGTCTTTCATCAGATAAAGATGCCAACCCTTGCTCAGGAGCTTTTCTAACTTCTGGTAGGGTGTGGCTCAGATTGTCAGGGATGTTCAGGCAGCATGTCAGATTTTGCTTTCTGTGACTCTTCTAACTCAAGCTTAGCTTCATTAGCTGAAATGGTGGAATAGCTTTTGTAAGGTCAAGTACATTTTTAGTATTATCATAGCTCTGTCCATGTTGCTTGGCTAAGCGGTTCCCCGAGATGTGAGGTGAAAGTGTGTGTAGCAGCAAGAACTCTCTTATGCACAGCTCTCTTATGCAGGGTAATTATTGAGGTCTTTGGGATAACCTTGTTTACATCAGGGACTGTAAAAGTCCTTTAATTTTACTATAACGTATGGTCAGATGAGAACAAAACATGTCTCAATTCCTGACTAGTCCAATAGTTTCTTTATATTGCTAGATATGTATTATTTTTTTCAATAGAGGTGACAGATAAAATATCAGCACAATATATTAAGTATCATAAAAACATGGTTGTATCGAATTCATTTTTTGTACTGGAGTAATAAAACTTGTTAATAAAATACAAGAAAAATATTGGGCAAAGAAATAAAGGGGATAAAGGGCATTTATATTTAGAGTAATGAGATGTCTAAACAGTATGAATCAGCCCTTTCCTGTTATCCTGATGATCCTTAGATGGAACTACTGAAGACAGAGCTGATATATATTCTGTG